GAAAATACAACAGTAAGAAGAGCTAAGAAAACAATTTTGTGTTGAAGGGATGGAGACTGCCTAACTACAAATCAGGACATGATGTAAAGCTCCGTCAAGGGAAACAAAGCAAAACAAACCACTGGACTCCATTAAGACACACAGAGATAGGGAACAATGAACAAAACTGAAAGGCAGCGTGTGGGATGGGTGAAGATATCTGCAAGGACATATCTGAGAACGGGTTAGTATCTAAAATCTGTGAAGAAATTATCAAACTTAACACCCCCCCCCCCGTAATAATACAACGCTTACACTTTTTAGGGGATGCAACATGGTGTAGTCACTCTGGTAGGCAGTATAAAGGGTTCTCAAAAAGGTAAAAATAGGGGACACCTGGGTGGTTCAGTCAGTTTAGAGTCTGACTCTTCATTTTGGTTGATGTCATGATCACAGGGTCATCAGATCAAGCCCCGCATCCGGCTCTGCCCTGCGTGTGGAGCCTGCTTAGGATTCTCTGTCCCTCTGCCCCTCACCGTCCCCTACTGCATGCTTTCTCTCAAACAACAATAACAACAACAAAAAAACCCCAGAACTACCCTGCAACCCAGCAATGGCACTACTAAGTATGTACCCAAAGGATACAGAAATACAGATTCAAAGGCGTACACACCCCAATGTTTATGGTAATGTTATCAACAATAGCTAAACTATGGAAAGAGCCCAAATGTTGACTGATGAATGGATAAAGATGTGGTATATATATGTACAATGGAATGTTATTCAGCCATAAAAGTAATGAAATATCATTTGCAATAACATGGATGGAACTAGAATTTATTATGCTAAATGAAATCAGTCAGTCAGAGAAAAACAAATACCATGTGATTTCACCATACATGGAATTTAAGAAACAAACAGGTGAACACAGGGGAAGGGGGAAAAGACAGAGGGAAGGAAACCATAAGAGATGCTTGACTGCAGGGACCTGTAATGGAGGGGGTAGGCTAGATGGGGGATGGGCATTAAGGAGGGCATGGGTCATGAAGAGCCCTGGGTGGTGTGTGTAACTGATGGACCACTAAATTCTACTCCTGAAAACAATTCTACCACATATGTTAACTAACTAGAATTTAAATAAAAAACTTGAAATGAAAAATAAATAAATTAATTAATTAATTAACCCTCATTTCTTCTTGTAAATGTTGCTCAGTAGCTTAATTTTCCCTATGCAATTCTCTGTATACAAGCTGATAATAGTCACACCCATACAATTCCCTTCACCTAGAATTAGACTACTGTTTTTAACCCATATTTTTGTTTTCCAGTGTCTAACGTCCTAAGATTTTCATTGACTTCTGCATCCACAACCAAGTGTTCTGTGCTTTGTTCATACAATAATTCTAAATGATAAGAAACAATGAAAAGCATTTATACTATTATGGCTCTGTGAATTATCTCTGGACATGTACTGTGTTGGGATGTATTTCCACCTTTTGGGGGCTGATCCCTCAGTAACTGTCCATTCAGAGAAGAATATTTCTAGCCTCAAGATCTACCACTTTGTTATTACCTGGTTGCACATGCTTACTCTTCTCTCCTATAATTCTAAGGCTAAGGCATCCCTTCCCACTTGACTCCTTCATGCTCGCTGACCGACATTGTTCAATAATAGTCCCATTGCTCTCCTACATCATTTTCCCACTGAATGATGTCATTGCTATAGCCACAAAACACATTATAATGAGCCCATTAAACAACACACACACACACACACACACACACACACCCCTCTCCTCCCCATAACTCTTCAAAGTTCCCCAAACTCCCTTTATTCTCTCTCAAATCAGTTCCAGTCCCTCTTTTGTCTCTATCCTTGAATCAAAAACAATTCTTATTAATGTAACCAGTGTCTTCCACATTGTCAATTTAAATGTTTAATCCTCAATCACCATTCTGACCAATTAGAAGTACTTCAGAGTGATGTTGACATCTTCGGTTAAGTTGTGTATTTGAGACTTTTCTTGTTTCTTGAGGAAGGCCTATATTCCTATACCTTTCCCTCTTCTGACAGCCTTTCCTGCACCTCCAAGGTTTTGAACTGTCATGTTTTCATTTCATTTGCTTCCATGTATTTTTTTTTAACTTCTTCTTTAATTTACTGGTTAACCCATTCATTCTTTAGTAAAATGTTCTTTATCCTCCATGCATTGGAGATCGTTCAAAAATTTTTCTTGTGGTTGACTTCAAGTTTCATAGCATCGTGCTCTGAAAGCATGCATGGTATGATCTCAACCTTTTTGTACTCGTTGAGGCCTGATTTGTGACAAAGTATGTGATCTATTCCGGAGAACGTTCCATGTGCACTTGAGAAGAATGGTTATTCTGCTGCTTTAGGATGAATGTTCTGTATGTATCGGTTAAGTCCACATGGTCCAGCGCGTCATTCATTGTTGTGGTCATCACCATGGAAATACATGGTCCAAGGTGTCATTTCCTTGTTGATTTTCTGCTTAGATGATCTGTCTAATGCTGTAAGTGGGGGTATTAGAGTCCCCTACTATTATTGTATTATTATCAATGAGTTCCTTTATGTTTACTATTAATTGACTTAAATATTACAACTGTCAGATTTTCTTGTTGGATAGACTCCTTAATGATGATATAGTGCCCTTCCTCATTTCTTATTAGAGTCTTTGGTTTAAAATCTAGTTTGTCTGTTTATATATATATGGCTACTTTAGCTTTCTTTTGACATCCATTACCGTGATAGATGGTTCTCCACTCCCTCACTTTCAATCTGCAGGTGACTTTAGGTCTAAAATGAGTCTCTTATAGGCAGCATATAGATGGGTCTTGCCTTGCTTTGCTTTTCTTTCTTTCTGTCTTTTTTTTCTTTCTTTCTTTCTTTCATCCATTCAGATACCCTATATCTTTGGTGTGGAACATTTAGTCCATTACTTTCAGAGTGATTTTTTTTTAAGATTTAATTATTTATTTGATGGGGGGGAGTAGAGGGAGAGGGAAAATCTCAAGTAGACTCTGCACTGATCACAGAGCTCAATAAAGGGCTCAATCCCACGACCCTGTAATCATGACCTGAGTCAAAACCAAGAGTCAGATACTTAGCCAACTGAACCCTGGTATCCCCATTCAGAGTGATTACTGATAGAATTTAGTGCCATTGTATTACCTATAAATTAGGTGTTTCTGGAGATTTTCTCTTATTCTCTCTAGTCTTTGTTGCTTTTGTTTTTTCCCACTTAAAGAGTCCCTTTAATATCTCTTGCAGGGTGTTTAAGTGGTCATGAACTTTTTTAGCTTTTGTTTGTCTGGGAAAATCTTTATTCTCCTCCTATTCTGAATCAGCCTTGCTGATTGAGTATTCTTGGCTGCATATTTTCCCGTTCAGTACTCTGAATACGTCATGCCACTTTCTTCTGGCCTGACAAGTTTTTGTGGATAGACCTGCTGTCAACCTTATTTGTCTTCCCTTGTAGGTTAAGGGTTTTTTTTTTTTTTTTTCTTTTGCTGCTTTCAGGATTATTTCCTTATTTGTGTATTTTGTAATTTTTAAATATAGTATTTGATATTTAAAAATTAATCAAGAAAAGAATTAAAAATCATTATATCATGAAATATTAGGCAGCATGGGGAGTAGGGCAGGGTAAGCTAACTACATCTTATTTTTCATAAGAGGTAGTCAAGAACATTGTTGTATTTGGTCTATCAAAAAAAAAGAGGGATAAAATATGCATGTTTTGAAAGATCTGAAAATCAGCATAAGAAAACAAAAATGAATAATTTAGGGAAATTACATGTAGAATGTGGGACTGAAGATGGGAGAGTTGTACTGGAGAATATGTTTTCTATTACGCACTTTTCTGTACAACTGAATTAGATGCCTGCTGCATACATTACTTTGATAGAACATTTAAAACTTGTATCTATCAACACTGTTAATACTATAAGGCCATCAAAAAAATGAAATAGTTCCTAAGGTACTTTGATTCTTACAAATGTCTCTCATACATTGGGAAATTATAAAAAGCCAATTGTTGATGACATGGGAAAAAAGTTATTGGTAAGTATGTGTTTCTCTATTGGTGAGAAACTGCCCCAAAACACAGTGACTTAAAACAATGGGCCTTTACTATTGTTCACAAGTTGATTAATCAATTCTGTGGTTCTTCTTATCTCTGGGGTTATCCAAGTGCCTGAGATCATCTGCACACGGGGTAGGCATCTCCATGTGATGTCTCTAGCAAGCCACCCTAGTCTTGTTCATGTGGACAGTCACGTGTCCAAGAGGAAGAAATGGATCACATGTCTAATGGCCTGGCAAAGAGCTTCACAGGGTCCATTTACTGCATCACAATGGCAAAACCAAGTCAGAGTTGAGTTTATAGTCAGACCAAAGGAAGCAAAGATACTCCTGATAGCAGCCATCAATAACATCAGTACTATACTGAGTGCTTTTTAAAAGCACAGGATAAGAATTCTTACCAATGTAAGCTAAGCATATAATTGTGGTTAATTTATGGCATGAGATTAAAGAAGGCTGATGATCTTACTACATTTCATAAAATTTGCATTATTTAATTTTTATAGCAAACATCTATTGCTTAAAAAACTAATCTTGAGTAAAAGAGTCAGTATACTAAAATATACACGTTTTTCCAGTGCTGACCAGTACACAGATCAGGAAAGAGAGAAGAGATCACAAACCTCCATTTTTAAAACCGGTGTCAGGAATAGCACTATTTGTCGGGCTCCAGTCAGTTTCCTGCTTCCCTTAAGTCTTGCAAACTCACACCTTACTTCAGGGGCTGAGTGGGTGTCTGTGGTAAGGCCTCTCTGCCATTTAGTGGCTATGGGGAGACACAGAGGGTCCATTTGACTTCAAAATAGACTGCAAAACAGAACAGAGAAACTGTGTGAGAATAAAGAGAAAAGACATGTTTGCTTCCCGTTTTCTAGTAGAAGTAAGATACGTATCAGAAGAGTCAAAATCTTTCTCCACACGGACAGGAGAACTTGAAAAGCTGTAGTTTCCCATTTAGGCAATACCAGCACGCCAGAACACTGAGAGCAATGGGAGAAGGCTGCTTTCATTTTCACTACTTTCCTGCCCAGAGAGACAGAGCAGCAATGGCTGGTGAGTGTCTCCGATTTTCTGTCATTTATGTCTGTGTTTTGGGGGAATGACAGCTCAGGAAGAAGGAGGGCGGGACAGGAGATGGAGCCCCGAAGGGGGCTCTCATAAGACAGGGCTGTTTTACTCTGGGACTGTGAGGGATGGGGATCTTGGGGCACAGCAAGCAAGTGTGCTACCAGACAAAGCATTTTAGCTGAGAAGCTACAGCTTTTGGTGGGGGAGGGGGGAAGGAAGTGTAAAAAATCTGGACCTACGTTCTCAGAACATTCCTATGATTTTAGTCTTTGAATTCATATTGACTGAGCTTTCTTTCTTTTTTTTTTTTTTTAAGATTTTATTTATTTTTTTTGACAGACAGAGACCATCACAAGTAGACAGAGAGGCAGGCAGACAGAGACAGAGGGGCTGAGCAGAGAGCCCAATGAGTGGTCCCGATCCCAGGACCCTGGGATCATGACCCAAGCCAAATGCAGAAGCTTTAACCCACTGAGCCACCCAGGCGCCCCCTGACTGAGGTTTCTAACCATTTCTTTAGTGTTCTCATCAGGGTGAAGGGCTATCCAGCTGAAGAGAGTGTATTTCACTTCCTCCATATTTCCGTTCTCTGTATGACCTCTTGTTTCCAGCAGTGAGCAAGCCAGCCACAATGTGTGCTCTCAATCTCAGAATACAGACATGCCCTGCCAGCCCTGGCCAGGGAAACATGTGCATTTTTCCACAGATGGTAATACTTGTATGCTTTACATCTATACATACTATCTACAGTGTGTTTTTAAAAGAGATATTGATAAAAGTGACAGGAAGGGAAGCAATCACAGGTGATACCAAGCTGAAATGGGGCAGCCATCACTAATGGAGCAACTTAATGAAGTTGTTTAAGTTGCTTTCCTTCCCCGAGGCTCACTCTCTCCACCAGTAGAAGGCATAGATTTGGTCCTCAGAACAGTAACTTTAATATCACCTAACATGGGTGGAAATAAAGATTGATGTGCTCCACCCTGTCCTATCAAATCAGATTTCTGGGAATAGGGTGCAGGAAACTCTGTTCGCCGCCCTCTCAGATACTCTCTCCCTTGTTAAATTTGAGAACCACACACCTAAATCAGAGACCTAACATCCTGCAATTCCTAAAATCCTATTGTCCTCACAGAGAAGAGATCGCCACAAGACCCAGTTAAAGAAATAAAGATGATTGCCAGCACCATGCTTGGTGGCTTCTTGGAAGACTTGAAGGAAAAGAAGGTACTAGATAAACGTGACTTACAAACAATAGGGAAAAAAGTGAACTTCATTGTGAATAAGACTGAAAACCTGGTTGATGACCTCTCTGAGAAAACTCAAGTGGTAGGTCAAGTATTTATGGACCGTTTCGTCAATTCCAGGAACCTGCTGAGTTTAAGTGAGTATCTTGGGTTAAAGGACTCCTAACTTATTCTTTATCTGCCCTCCTATGCAATATCTGTTTTGTTTCTATTTGCAAGTAGAGAACAAACTATCCAAGTCTCCAGTACTTTCTTTGCCTTCCCTCAGCAACTGTCACCTTCAATCACCCCTTAACATTCCCTGTT